GCTTCTGCACAGCCAAAGAAATAGTCATGAAAGTAAACAGACAACCTACAGAATGGGAGAAAATTTTTGCATCCTATGCATCCGATAAGGGACTGATAACTCATACTGTTTTTTAATCTAAAACAAATGCCATAAATAGTAATGTAATGAAAAAGACAAGAAATTTCAGCTTTGATTTTACAGTCCTATCACTCAGGATCTTGGCCTCAGTTTTGTAAAATCATCTTTTTTTAATTTTCACCTTTTCAAATTCACCTTTGATTCACTTGGTAAATCAACACATTCTTACCTGTCGCAAGAAAAAGAAAACTGTAATATAAAGTAATAGCTTATTAATTTACAATGAGGAATGTGATTTCCAACTGGGCCCTATTCTTGTTGCACAGCCAACCCATTCTCTTTCCATCAGCGGAGGTAAATACTTCATTTAAATGGAGGTTACATGATTCAATCTTGTGTCTAGAAGAAACCGAAATTTCTAGGGGATGAACATGCTTGAAGTTCTGACTTGGGTGGGACAAATGTAATATATGTAACCTAAACATTTGTACCCCTATAATATGCTGAAATAAAAATAAAATCAAAAATAAATTTAAAAATCACTTCCTGCATGAAATTTCAGAAAGAAAAATACTCAATTAGATAATTTTAAAAAGATAAAAGAAAAAAGAAAGTTTTTCTAAGTAGTCAGAACAGATTTTAGAAGGTCCACACACTAAATCTTTAGTAATTTTCTCATTGGATGGCCTCACAGTTCTTCACTCAAGCATTTGTTTTCAGATTTTGAATGCTAATCCCAGTTGTGATCACTAGGTTCTAATCAATCCAAAAGTTGCTAAAAATAGCAAATTACAAGCAGAGGTGATTGCTAGAGGGAGTCATAATAACACCAGCAGCAAGAAATAGCAACTGACACTGAGGGAAGAGACACAAAAAAATACCCACCCCCAAGGGAGACATAACATCTCAAAAAAGAGGTGTCATTTCAATTAAAAGACCAATAACATGGCATACCTCAAAATTCTCTGTAGCCTGGTGGAGATTCTGAAACCATAAGGAGAAATGACCTCATATGACTTACCTTATTTTCCCATAGATTTGGATGTGCATCTTTTTTGAGGAAACCTAAAAACGTCTATCCATTGAATTTACCAGTGTTCAACTATTTAATAGTAATACCATCAGCATGCATGTGATTTCTAGGACCTGCAAAATAAACACACATGGCGAAACCAAAATGAATAAAGAAATGTGCCCACAGAACATATTTATTAAGCCTATTAATATCCCAAAATGCACATACTATAGCAAGTTAAATATAAAAGGGTTTGTAAACTTAGGAAGATCACAAGGAACAATTCATCTTCAAAGCTGAGATCTTAGTAACATTCAGAAAGTTTTTTTTTTATATTTGAGAATCTTATATGCTAAATGAGAAAATAGGATTCAAATATGAAATACTACAGCCTTTATTATAAAACAAAAAGTAACAGCATCCATTTCCAGAAATATTATAGAAAAGGTAAAAGCACTGGATAAAAAACAGGGTGTCCCAAAAGTCATCATACATAGGGAAAATAGTAAATTGTAGCTAAATGTACCTTTATGTACAAAATATTGCTACAATTTCCCATTTTCCCTATGTATGCCAACTTTTGGGACACCCTATATAATAAACATTCTTTTAAAAGCATAGGTGAGCTCTCAAAACAGTAAGAAAATTTTTCAGAGGTCAAATGAAAACATCTGTGAAAATTAGCCATCATAAACCTGGGTTCACATCTCCAGCACTCATCTGGTCAGTGAAGTTTAGCAGAGTCTAGCACAAGGTACATTTCAGGGCCAATGATACATCTAAAGCTCAGAAACAAATGGAAAACCTCTCAGGAGAGACAGTCCTTTAAAGCAGGTGAGAAGCATCACTACCTATAAAACTACTGTAAATGAACTCATCCTTATCTTTAACAACAAACACTAGGAAAGTATTATCTTGGAAACAATGTGCTACACTGAGTAGTTGTTCTTTCACTTAATGTTTTCTTTATGGTCAATTCAACTCGAAGAAGCTGGTTTTCCTGGTAAGTTGTTTTCAATTCTAACTAAATATCACTGTCCATTTTGTTCACTGTTTAGACATAATTTTTCCATAGGTCTTTTTTTTTCTGTGCTCTCATATCCTCAAGTCCCAATATGTTTGCTTGGAAAGCAGGAAACATGGAATGTTATAAAAATATGGTCTTCCTTTTAAAATACAGGATTATTCAGTAAGCTATTAACTAGGAATGTATTTCACAAATAAGGTAAAGGTGAAGCAGTTAACATATTTCCAGAGGAAGAACATTCAGTAAACAGCTTATGGTAATCATTGTTTTAAAAGCAGGGCTTTATTGGGGAGGAGGATTATGTCACAGGATTATTATAGATTTAGTTTCATTAACCTCCTGCACTTTTTTCATGCATATATAAATAAAATAATGAACTGATGTCTCAGAATCCTGAAAACTGCAGAAATATGAAAAACTTTCGCAGTCATCAAAAGAATAAATTGCTTTTCACATAGTTTAAATTCTTTTTTTAATTTCAGACTATTATGGGGGTACAAACATTTTGGTTACATAAATTGCTTTTGTACCATTTGAGTCAAAGTTATAAGAGTTCCCAGCCCCCAGGTACTGTGCATTGTACCTATTAGGTATAAATTTATCCATCACCTTCTGTCCCCAATACCTGCTTGATTTATGATGAATGTTATTTCCATATGTGCACATATGTGTTGATCTGTTAGTACCAATTTAATGGTGAGTACATGTGGTGTTTGTTTTTCCATTCTTGTGACACTTCACTGAGAAGAACAGTCTTCAGTTCCATCCAGGTTAATACAAGAGGTATTAGTTCACCATTCTTTATGGCTGAATAGTACTTCATGGTATACATATACCACATTTTATTAATCCACTCATGTATTGATGGGCACTTGGGTTGCTTAGACATCTTTGCAATTGTGAATTGTGTTGCTATAAACATTCAAGTGCAGATGTCTTTTTTTTATAGAATGTCTTTTTTTCCTATGGTTAAAGAGCCAGTAGTGGGATTGCTGGATCAAATGGTAGTTCTACTTGTAGCTCTTTGAGTATCGCCATGCTACTTTAGTAGGAGTTGTACTAGTTTGCAGTCCCACCAGCAGTGTATGAGTGTTCCTATCCCTCTGCATCCATGCCAACATTTGTTGTTTTGGGACTTTTTGATAAAAGCCATTCTCATTGGAGTTATGTGGTATCTCATTATGGTTTTGATTTGCATTTCCCTGATGATTAGAGATGTTGAGCATTTTTTCATATGTTTGTTGGCCATTCGTCTATCTTCTTTTCTAAAGTTTCTGTTCATGTCTTTTGCCCACTTTTTGTTGTTTTTTTTTTCTTGCTTATTTGCTTGAGTTCTTTATAGATTCTAGTTATCAGCCCTTTAATCAGATGTATAGCATGCAAATATTTTCTCCCATTCTGTAGATTGTCTATTCGTTGTAATGATAGTGTCCTTGCTTGTGCAGAAGTTTTTTAATTTGATCAGGGCCCATTTATTTACTTTTGTTATTGCCGTGATTGCTTTGGGGGTTTTCTTCATAAATTCTTTGTCTAGGCTGATTTCTATAAGAGTTTTCCTGATATTTTCTTCTAGAATTCTTATGGTTTTGTGCCTTAGGTTTAAGTCTGATATCTATTGTGAGTTGATTTTTGTGAGACATGAGAGGTGCAGATCCTGTTTCGGTCTTCTACATGTGGCTATCCAATTTTCCCTGTACCATTTATTGAATAGGGATTCTTTTCCCCAGTGTATGTTTTTGTCTGCTTTGTCAAAGGTCAGATGGTGATATGAGGTTGGTTTTATATCTGGGTTCTCTCCTCTGATCCATTGGTCTATGTCTCTGTTCTTGTGCCAGTGCTATGCTGTTTGGGTTACTATAGACTTGTAGCATAGCTTGAAATCTGGTACATTGATGCTGGTACAAATCTGGTACAACTTGTTCTTTTTGCTTAAGGTTGCCTTGGGTATACAGGGTCTTCTCTGGTTCCATACAAAGCACAGAATCATTTTTTTTTAGCTCTGCGAAAAATGATGTTGGTATTTTAATAGGGATTGCATTGAATCTGTAGATCACTTTGGGTAGTATAGACATTTAACAATGTTGATTCTTCCACCCCATGAGCATGGTATGGTTTTCCACCTGTTTATGTCCTCTTCTATTTCCTTCCTCAGTTTTTGTAGGTCCCCCGTAGAGGTTATTCACCTCCTTAATTAAATCACCTAGTTTAAATTCTAAGTGTATTTTATTGTATCCAATTTCCTCAAACATTAGAATTCCCCATATAGAATTCTATTTACCAGAATATATTGTTTCTTGTCTCTGACAAATTGAAATTTTTTTATAAAGATAATTTTATTAATCCACTCATGTATTGATGGGCACCTGGGTTGTTTCCACATTACCATGGAATTCTACTCAGCCACAAAAATCAATGGTGATATAGCACCACTTGTATTATTCTGGAAAGAGCTGGAGCCCATTCTACTAAGTGAAGTATCACAAGAATGGAAAAACAAGCACCACATGTACTCACCATCAAATTGGTATTAACTAATCAACACTTAAGTGGACATATAGTAATAACATTCATTGGGTGCTGGGTAGATGGAGGGGAAGTGGGGATGGGTATATACATACCTAATGGGTGCAGTGCTCACTATCTGGGGGATGGACATGGTTGAAGCTCTGATTTGGATGGGGCAAAGGCAATGTATGTAACCTAAACATTTGTACTCCTGTAATAGGCTGAAATAAAAAATTTAAAACATTAAATTAAATTAAAAAGATAATTTTATTGACTACAATTTTTCTAAATAAAGTCTGTGCAAGGCTGGATGCAGTGGCTCACACCTGTAATGCTAGCACTTTGGGAGACCAGGTGGGAAGATTGCTCTACCAGGAGTTTATGAGTAGCCTGGGCAACATAGCAAGAGTCCTGTCTCTACAAAAATAAAAAAATGAAAAAAGAAGTATGTAAAACTTCTAGGTGGCCAACTGCTTTTATTAATAACAGAGATAATTGCCTTAGAACAACAGCCCAGGGATGTTACCTGAAGCAAGAAAGCTGTGTTTGTGGTGGAGTCTCCTCTTTGCCCTATAGGTTCAACTCATGATTCTAAATGTATCTCCAAAGATACATTTCAGACTATTTCAAAGGCAAGTTAAGGAAAGGTTCTGTCTTCCTTATCAACTTCAACTTCCCTGGGGAGAATGCATCAATTTATTGAACAGTCAGCCACCATAGTAGATTTCAGAGGTATATAGGGTAGAAATCTGAAATTTAAAATCCATCTTGTGAACAGATCTTTTTATTCTAGCTTTTATTTTGTAGGACACACAAAAAAATTATGAAGACTTTGTGCATTGAAGACATGACAGATGTTTCTATACTTCAAACTACATGGGGAAAAAATTCATTATGTGAAAGGATATTTGTTGAGTGAAAGGATCAATGTTTGGATTTTCTGGTATGAATGTCTAATTTACTTATAATTTATTTATATATTTTATAAACATTTGCATCATATTATTTGCTGGACACAGTGCTGGGCACCAAGGGACTCAAAGATGAGTAAGAAATTGTCAGTGATCTCAGAGAACTGATAGATAATAACATAAGGAGAACATTGTGAAACTTCACTTCAGAATAATGGTGATTGATTTTTCTCTTGGCTTCCCTCCAGTTTCTGCAAGAAGTTCGTTGCTGGGAAGAATACCTATACTCTATGTTCTGTATCTTAGCAATAGCTTAGGACAAAAAGAGCTTTTACAAACTGTTGTTATTAAATGAAAGGCGGTCAGGATAGCTTGTGCTCCACATTTTTAAGTCACAAGAAAGTGACAAATGATAAGAGTGAAAACTTCTGCAATGACTTTTTGATGCCAAAATAACTATTTGATTTTTTACCAAAAATGAAAAATATCATTCAGCAGTCAGTTCACTGCAAGGCTGGGAGCTGATAGGGGGGTGGGAATAATATCAAGCCATTTATTACTCATTATGGCACTTACATAACCCCATCTATTTTTACTACATCCAAATGTAGTGATAGCTTCTTATTCTTAATAGACTCAATCTCTGAAACACTTTTCTTGTTATCTACATACTTTCAAGGCTTCAGGC